CTGAAATATATTATCTCCATCTAAAAATCAGCGCCATAAATACACACTACAACAAACCAAAACAAGTGACACATACACAGCTATAAACAAAAGCAACAAGTACTGTAGGAGCGCAATACCCCTGACCAACAATATCTAGGTATTACTGCACCAGGTAGTTCACTGTACAAAGATCAATAAGAAACGTATGGGAGGACCACAGAGGCTCACTCCTCGATCTCCCCTCCTGAAAATACTAGATGCCTGGCTGTCATGCTAATCCCATGCCTAGGATATTTGAGTGACCTGGAACGGAACAAAAACGCTTTTCAACTGCCTGGCAATCAGAATTTAAAGATCACTGTATACGCTGTATACTGAGACGCTGCAGCAAGGACAGATCCCGACATTACTGGCGAGAGCCACCCAGTTGCGCGATTGACAGATGGCTCTGCCTATCTAGAGGCAGAGCCAGAGCTGTACCCGCCTCCTCCCCCGTCCGTTCCGCCAGTCAGTGCTGGAGGATCGGAGCGGGGAGGGGGGAATCCCTGCAGGGAGCCGTGAATGACAGTCACGGCTCTCTGCAGGGACAGGATCGAGAAGTGAGCGAGCGACAGTATGTGTTCGCTCACTTCCCGATCTATTGAGCCGACATGTGGCAGTTTCATTGTCACACATCGTCTCGAACTATGAGGCTGAGTGATTTTCACTCACCTCATCGTTCTCCTTGACTAGGTTTGCTCTTTTTTCCAGCCATATAAAGTAGTCTTTATCTTTGTTGTCCTCTAGATTGCCAAGGTAACATCTTGGAATTTTCATTGTCTCATTGAAGCAATACAAACGGACTTTTGTTTGTAGTCATTTCTTAAACTGTCACCATCTAGCCTACAGCCCTTGGCAGAATAGTGGGTTGGTATGACAAGCAGAAGCAGTTGGATAAATGCAGTCTATATTAAAAAGGTATTAATGTAAATTGAACAAAGAGAAATAAACCAAGCAATGGTTACAAAGAGGCTTCCGTATATCTATCTATCATCTCTCTCTCTCCTGGTGTCATGTGTGAGGGTACTATAAGTGTCAGCAGTCCCTATTCATTATAGGACAACCCTGGTGCTCTGTATGTAAGGCCACTACAAGTGTCAGCAGTCCCTTTAAGGAACAGGGACTGCTGACACTTGTAGTGCCCTCACACGCAGGACACCAGAACTGTCATATAATGATTAGTGAGCCCGAGCATTGTCCCGCGCCAAGCAGAAGGGTTAATTATTTTTCTTCTTTATGTCCAGCCCCTGATTTTACTCTCAACCCTTGGCATGGCCCTTAGTAAGTTTGGATTTGACACCCCTGCTGTAAAAGATTGTTTTATATCATTTCCAGCAGTCATCGTGTGGATTATTTGCTTTTAAAAGCTCCGGGCACCACTGCTATCCTAACTTCCTGGTGTGCCAGACAGCATTTTCCCTGCCGGACTCTGTAGCGACTTGTGGTCTGTGTGAGAGAATACAGCACTGAGCGAGGGTGGGTCAGGCTATCCAACATACCCAGAAGATAATAGTGGCAGCACCTAGAGCTCTATAAAAGAGCGAAGATTGCACTCATCGCCCGCAGGAAAGGTCTGCTTTTACAGGTTTGCGTTAGTTAGTGAAAAAGATGCTTTGACGAAAAACTGGGGCAGAGGAGGCATCGCACAGTAACCAGATTCTTGTAATTGTTTCTAGCAAAATGGCAAGCCGACCTTGAAGATCCCAACACCACTCCTCCTGAGACAGGCAAGAGAGCTGGGCCAGCAACACCTACTGGCCTTCTGTATAATACTAGTAGCAGTACTTGGAGGCCAAAACAAAAACTATATACATAACTTCACTGTGCAGCCAAAAGTTAGTCAAACCTCCAACCTTTATGTAACAGCAGAAGTCTGATACACCCTCTGCCTTGTCACAACTAGCACTACTAACAGCAAACATTAAACTTCCTGCCAACTTCAGGCGATATGAAATCAAAATGAAGTCAAGAAATTTCAGGTGCTGAAAAAAATCACTTACAATGGATGTTTAAAAGTATTAATGCCGAATCAGCTGGTCTGCTAAGCACTGGCCCTGATATCCTGTTTTAAGGTGGCTTCTTTTTCATGCATGGTCCTACGGAGCCACCCTTGTGCATCTCAGCAAATGCACAGGTACAGCAAGGCAAGCCATTCCCCTGCTACCGGCTTCTCATTCCTCCCTTCTGCAAGCTAGTAGATGGATGGCCGCTGGAGACTGTGATCTTTTGCTGGATAGGAAGTTAGGAAGTTCAGGGAAGTGTAGCAGAAAGAGTCGGAGCCAGCTGTACAGAAACATGACTGTAGGTGATTGGGCAAAAAAAATTAAGAATGACTTTGCTGGGCAATGTATATTTGATGTATCTGGAGTCATTAAAACCAACCTACATACACTTATCCGTTTATAAGCAACTAACTGCTGCATTATCTGTGTTTACAAACTGTTCAAGCCTGTCATCAGAGCGAGTTATTCCCCTGTGGCCCGACATAGATAAGGGGAAGCCAGGCTGTCAAACACAGCCACGGTCAGGGAAGTGTCCACATATGGAGATCATGGCTTCACTGTAGAAGCTTTACAGAAAGTCAAAATCTGCATAACGGTAATGACAGTTGGCAAAAAAGAAAAATGTATTCCAAACAGTTGTTGAAGCAGATTCTAAGGTTGCCGCCTGAGTGGAGATTACACTGCACCCCGTGTGCTCTGCATGATGAAGATCCACAACAAGCTGGAAAAGGAAGTCATTGTAGGCTTTGGAGAAGGTTAAAGGATAACTTTACTAAACGTACAAGGTAATAAATGCTTTTCAAAAAGGCACATGGAGGAACTCTGTGGCGCCTGCACTTGGGCAGCTGCATAAAGCTAAATAATATTTTTTGAACAATATCAATTTGAACAGTAAATGCATTAAAACAAATATGTCAGTACAAAAACTGTAGTGATTGCGTGCCACAAGCCACTAACCCCTCAGGGATCAAGCTTCCCAACCCTCCAAAGTGAAGGCACAGGTACAAACCCTCCCATCCCCCCAAAGGGAAGGCATGGGTGCAAACCCAAATGGGGACAATAAAATAAACCGTCCAACAAAGTGAAGGTACATACCCTGTTTCCCCGAAAATAAGACCTACCCCGAAAATAAGACCTAGTACTATTTTTGGGAATTGCTAAAATATAAGACCTACCCCAAAAATAAGACCTAGTTGTGACCATTCCCAGGGTCGGCATAAGGGGGAACTTGAAGAGTCACAGGAGAGGCGGGAGAGAATCGGCGGTGCCAACGAAGCCAGCGCTAGAGGAAGCGAGGCGGCAGCGGAGGGAGCAGAGCTGCATAAGCCGATGCCTCCTCTATAGCGCCGGCTCCTGTCACAGATGGAGTGATACCAATGCACTCCGCCTGTGAGGAATTGATAGTAAAAGCGCGCTTCGCTCATTCTGGCCAGCGATTGGTTAGCAAATTGCTCTTGGAAAGGTACAACACCCCTGATTTTTTTAAGGAACAAGTAAAAATTGGCCCCCTCAATTTGAAGTCATCGGCACAAACATTCCATCGCCCCCAAAGTGAAGTCACAAGCATAAATCTTCAACCCCTGCAAATGAAGGCAGGGGTGCGAAATCTCCCCGACTAAAGTGAAGGCAGAGGCACAATTCCCGCTTCCAAATAAAGACACAGATCAGCGCTTAAATCCTGCCCCCTTCTCCATGTGAAGGCATGGCTGCCTCTACCCACTTGACAGCATAGGCACAAAATACCCCACAAGCAACAACCCCTCCCAATGCATGGGTGTATGCCACAGCCCCCTCCAACAATCGATTGCAGGCCACAAGCCATCAACACTTCAAAAGCACAACCTCCCAAAGTGAAAGCATGGTGCAAACCCTGTCATCAGCCATAAGCTAAGGCACAAATCTTTATCTCCCACAAGTGAAGGCATGGGCGCAAACAGTGGCACCACCCCAAGTGAAGGCATGGGGGGCAAACCTTACCCTCACGAGAAACCATAAATCCTTACCCTCACCCCTGAAATGTGGCCCCCCTCCCAAGGACGGGCACAACCCTTGCCGCCAAACTCAGTCAAGGCACGGGCACAACCCTTACCGCCAACTCAGTCAAGGCACAACCCTTACCGCCAACTCAGTCAAGGCACAACCCTTACCGCCAACTCAGTCAAGGCACAACCCTTACCGCCAACTCAGTCAAGGCACGGGCACAAACATTCCCCCTCATTGAAGGCATGGCCGCAAACATTTTCCATCCACTCAAAAGCGCTTGGCGCAAACCTCCCCCTTCACCTCCTAAAGCAAAAGCTCAAAATGTTATCTCCCACAAGCAGAGGCACGGGCGCAAAGCTTGCCTTCACCCTCATGCAAAATCATAAATCCTCCCCTGCCCAATCAAGACGTTTTCAAACACTGCCCCCCACAAAAAATTACGAGTACAGGGACAAAACGTTGGCCACTTCCACAATCAAGGGAGGGGTGCAAACTTCCATCCTCTTCCCCAAGCAGGGCACAGGTGCAAACATATGTAATAATAATTCACCCACACACCAGTCCGTTCACAGGCACAAACTTTTGCCTTCTCCCCCAAAAATATCAAGGTAGGGCACTTCCCCCCCCACTCAACACACAGGAGCAGACCTTCACACCCCACAATCAGGACACAGGTGCAAACCCTCGCCCCTTTAAAACCAGAATGTAGACCCTCACCCCATGTAGAGAGGCACAGACTGCTTCTACCCTCTTGACAGAACAAAATACTCAACAACAGTGGGGCCCTAAACACAGCACAGAGATGGTTTTAGGACATGGGATGAATGTTATAAGACCCAACAGTAATGGTATGGGCACACACTGCCTCTCATAGTGGGAGCACTGACCATGTCACAGGTACAAAGTGCCCATTATACAGCTAGGCATGTCACAGGTACAATGACACCACACACTATATGTCCCCTCCCCCACCATCATGGCCGCCACACTCACATCTGCGGAACCACTTCAACCAGTAGTGCACGATGGTGCCGTGCTGCTTCTTGTTCTCAATGCACCAGGTGGACAGGTTCTGGATGGACTCCATGGTGTTGCTGATGGTCTGCAACTTGCGGTCCAGAGCGGCCTCCAGGGCCCCGGCCGAGGCCTTACTGCTGCTGCCAGCCGCCATGTTGCTTCCCCCACAATGCCCTGCGGCCGATAGAAAGTAGAGGGGGGGAGAGAGGGGGACGGTATCAGGCACTACAGGCCCCTCGCCATGACAAAACGGGCGACGAAGGCGGTACGGGACAGACGGGGCCTGCAGCGCTGGTTGCGCAATGACAGCGTTTAATACGGTTTACAATTGTATTGCGGCGAACCACACACACGGGTGGCGAACACTGAGTGCGTCACCAACGAGCTGACACGACCCGGGAGCGCGCCTCACTGCCCGCGCTATATAATGCAGAGCGCGTGCACGCGGCAAGAGCGCGAGCCGAACACGCCCCCCTCACGTTGCTGAGAGTCTCCCCTCACAGAGAGGCGGGAAAGCCGGATATGTATCTGTGACCGGGCTGATGTGTGAATACAATCAATAAATGTCTGATTTCACTACAAGAGTTGCTCATAGCAACCACAGGGGAAATGTCTGATTCACTATAAAGGTGGCCATACACTCTACAACCATCGCAAGACCTTAGTCTTGCGATGGTTGTACAGGGATTAAAAAAACGTACGATCTGCCTATCTTGGACAGGCAGATCGCACTCTCGATCATCGCAAGCCTGCCCCCCTGAGGGGCGGGCTTCCGATGACCGCAATGCTGAACGTGCAGTGTGCGCGTGCGCACACCGGCCCGTTCGGCATTTGTCTTCCGAGCATCGTTCTAACCAGCCGAGAATCGTACGATTCCCGGCTGGTTTTCGAACATGCTGGTTCGACAGAAGACGTGCGACCGTACAGTAAAAACGGTCGCACGTCTCCGTTCACACTGCTCGATTCTCGTACGAAAAACCGATCGCATACGATAATTGTGCAGTGTATGGGCACCTTAAGGGTTGCTCAAAGCAGCTACAAAGGAAATGTCTGATTCACTACAAGGGTTGCCCATAGCAACCACGAGGGTTTGAAGTAAGTGATGTAGCCTCGGACCCTACCCACATCAGGAGTAAACAACCTTGGCACGCCAGCTGGGACGAAACTACAAATCCCGCCATGTCTCGGCCTATGGGACGTGACGTCTGTAGCTGTCAGAATCTTGCAGTGTCTCATGGGACGTGTAGTTCCATAATAGCCAGAGTGCCACGGTTGGCTACCCCTGCCATGCTCCTAAAACCACGAGGGCCTGTGCACCCCAACACCATAAAACACTGATATCTACACAGGACATACCCGGCAGGAAGACCTTGCCTAAACAAAAGCGCACGTAATGGTCCGTAAAATGCTTCCCGACGCAGCTCCCCTCATTCACATCTAAGTGATCTGAAACGCGTTTGCACCGACAAAACAAGATTTCTATTTCATCCAATAAAACAAAAGACTTGGAGCCTCAATTGTTGCATACAACGTGCCTGTACAATTCAAAGACAGACCTCCGAGATGGAAATATAACACTGCAGCCCTGCCTGGGATCATGCCCCCTTAATGCATTTCACCCAAGGCAGGCTTAATAGCAGAGATCAAACCCACCTTGGGTGAAACGCATTAGTCGGGGAGTGGACCCAGGCAGATATGCTGTATGTTATGTCCAGGCCCAATAAAGCCCTTCGAGGACTGATGTAATTGGTGAGCAGCTTTCTCTTTGCTCCTCTAACATTTAATTACATTTTCAATTGTTCACGTGTAAATTGCACAGAGATATTAACCGTAGATGCAGAAATTTCTATTATTATAGGCGGCTGTGTGAACGCGCCTAAAGGTGTTGGTTTGTCTAAATTAGCCATCATCAACCATGGAGCACTAAGGTTCCTCCAGAGGGTGGTAGGTGTTCCTTGAGTTGTGGCAAATTGACCTCCTATCTGATGATGCCGGCCTGGTTCTGGGTTCAACACCCCTTGGTGAGTCCAACACCATGACACCAATGATCATTTTGCTGTCTGTAAGGGGGGCATTCTTCCCCCTGAGCCAGCGGTGTATTTACCTTTGCTGCTGCCCTAGGCAAGACAGCAGCTTTTGCCGCCCTCAGCGAATCTGCCACTCCAGGCAAACGCCTTGTTTGCCTCGCGGTAGATACGCCCCTGCCCTGAGCACCAATGTTAGGGGGGCATTCTTCGGCCTGACCACCAATGTCAGGAACATTCCTCTCACTGACCACCAACGTCAGGAGCATTCTTCCCACTGACCCCTAATGTCAGGAGCATTCTTCCAAGTGACCACCAATGTCAGGAGCATTCTTCCCAGTGACCACCAATGTCAGGAGCCATCTTCCCACTGACCACCAATGTATGGGGAATTAGTCCCTCTGACCACCAATGTAAGGAACATTCTTCCCACTGACCGCCAATGTAAGGGGCATTCTTACGAGTGACCACCAATGTAAGGAACATTCCTCTCACTGACCGCCAATGTAAGGAGCATTCTTCCCACTGACCGCCAATGTAAGGAACATTCTTCCCACTGACCACCAATGTAAGGAGCATTCTTCTCACTGACCACCAATGTAAGGAGCATTCTTCCCACTGACCGCCAATGTAAGGAACATTCTTCCCACTGACAGATCAGCAAAAATATGAATTTAAGCTGGGATTGGTTGAGACATGAAAATGATTTCCAGGGTCCATCTGGGGTCAGAAAGGATGAGTAAGGCTGGTCTAAAAAGATTTTTTCATTCACTGAGAATTTATCAAACCTGGAGCAGGCAAAATCTGGAGCAGCTGTGCATGGCAACCAACCAGCATCCACCTTTCATTTTCAAAGCTTAACTGAACAAACTGAAGAGAGAAGCTGACCGGTTGTCATAGGCAACTGCTCCAGATTTTGTCTGCGCCAGTTTTGATAAATGCCCACATTGAATGACACGGCAAAATGACAGGAGAAAATCCTTTTCTCTGCATTCACTGAAGGACACAGCGGAGATCTTGAATATCTGAGCATAGTTGGTGCTATAACCCAGTAGTTAGAGATTCAGGATCTCTGCTGTGTCCTTCCATAAACGGAAGAGATAATGTAGCCGTGCGATCTAAGTACCATACTGAGATTCACGTGGATGTAAAAAGTTAAAGGAGAATTATGAGGTGAGTGAAAATAACTCGGCCTCATAATCTGAGCCAACAATGAAACTGTCACACGTCGGTTCAGTAGATCGGGAAGTGAGCGAACACATAGCGTTGCTCGCTCACTTCTCGATCTATCCCTGCAGAGAGCAGTGACTGTCACTCACGGCTCCCTGCAGGGATTCCCCCCCCCCCTCCCCAATGTCACTCACGCAGCTGGGTGGATCCAGACAGCATTGTCAGGACCGTTCCGGCTGCGGCGTCTCAGTATACCGCGAGCTGTAGCTCGCGGTATACTGAGCTTTAGGTGACGGGAGGACGCTAGTTTGTGTCCTCCCGTTACCCTTACGAGAACTATGGGGAAAAGCCCTGAACCCATAGTTCTCCTTTAAATATAGAAAGGTCGTTCAGTGTGCTACCAGTGATATCATGTTACTTGATGCTAGTGGCGTTTAGTGATGGGCTCGAACATTGGCAGACTGTGCGTTTGGCGAACACACAAACTGTCAGGGCGTTTGGCAGACTGTTCGCCCGCCGAGCGACACACAAGGCACAGGTCAGGTGCAAGACTTTGCCCAATCATGGCTCACCTGTCAGATGCCCTACAACTGTAAACAGTTGGGTGGAGCTAGCTGTCACTACTAGCTCCACCCAATTGTTTATATGTTGGCGGCGTCTGTCAAAAGGACATTATGCGGCGGGAGTTCTTCGCAAGCAGATGGGACGGCGGTCGTCTTTTTTTTTTAACATTTCTATTTATTTTTTATGGTTTTATTTTGTCGAGTCGTCGTAGACAACGCTGAGCGTCGTGATTGACGCTGGATTACGTTGGTGGATACATAAAAATAAAAGACTTGTCTTGTTTTTGTTTCCAATTAAAGGATTTTTTCAAGTCTGGCCTCCTTTTTAAAATTGTATTTAGCCCTTTAGTGAATGGGTAGCGATACAAGTACCCCTTACTCATTCACAAGGTGGGGGGCGCATCTGAGTGACCCTTAAAGGGGTACCCTGATGTGAATAAGCCCCATGTCTGCACCCCCACAACCAACTTGTGGGGGTGAGGCCCTTGTCCCCATTGGCACTGGGACAAGGTGCTTTTCCAGGGACGACACTGGAAAAGCATGCTCCCAGTGCCGAGGGCATGTGGCCTGGTATCGCAGGAAGGGGGGGCACGCTCGAACCTGCCTTGCCTGTGCTCAGATCAAGTGTCTGGTTAGGAATTTTACACATTCTCTCTCCCCCCCCCCCCATTTTTGGGGGTGGGGTTCCTCAAAATTCCTACCAGACCTTAAGGGCCTGGTATGACTTTTAGGGGGAACCCCACGCTTTTTTTTTTTTTAAATGGGGGTCCCTCCTAACATTCCTACCTGACCTAGAGAGTCTGGTATTGTTTTGGGTATTGTTTGGGAGGGGGAAGCACACGCTTTATTTATTTATTGTTTCTTTTACAAATGTCAGTTTTGCTGCAGCAGGTTCTATAAATCGTACAGATGTGCCACTTAAGCAGTTTAAGGGGGCATTTCCCAGCCTCGGCCCCGCCCCGTCCTGCCTTGGCCCAGCTGGCTGAAGCCCCCCGCCCCCACCCGATTCTCAAGCTAGTGTGAAGGCAGGAGACAGAGAGGAGCCTCCCTGTCCCTTACTTGCTCGTCACTGCTGAGGCATCGAGATCGATGGCCTCAGTGGTTTTTTGATTGGACAGCTTGAACCAATGGCGCTTTGCCATTGGTCCAAGCCATCCACAGAGCTCACGCCTCTAACAAAGAGTAGAAGCTGTGACAGCTCTTGCTTCAATAGTTAAGTTACACAAGCAGTGGGTAAGCCCGCTGCTGTGTAACCTAACTACATGGGAGGATTTCCCTGCTCTGTAACCTGTAACAAGCCGATCTGAATGGAGAAAAAGCTGTCAGCCTCAGACTTGAAGCTGACAGCTTTTTCCTCCATAATACTAGATGAGACTCTGCCTCCCCTGACCGTAAGTCCCTGCCAAGCGGATAGTCAGCCGAGCCAGGTCAGGGAACACTGACAACAGAATGAACGGAATAGCCAGAGTGAGGAACCAGGAGTTCAGTCAGCCAGAGCCAGGGCCATACACAGAGAACAGAACAAAAGCAGAGCACTTGGTAGATCTGAACACACGCAAGGGC